ATGAACTGGTGTGTATTTTTTCTTTAAAGTACCAAGACCAGCCATATACTGTATGTTTATGTTCCAAAATTAATATCGTTTATGGCCTTCACACACGTTACAGTATGCTCCTATTCTTTTTATGCTCAGCTACTAAGATTTCCCTTCAGTGGTAAAATTCCATATACATATTCAATACTAAAACGGGCACAGTAAAGACGTTTACTGTAAATCTTTCTACGACAGACCAATAGACCACCAGTGCCCCTGTCGGTCAACCAATCACGTACCGCGGTACCGCGCGTCATCGTGCGTCACAATTAGCCAATTACCGTAGCCAATTACCTCCGGTACGTGTCTGTACCGCGCACTTTGAATGGCTGCATCTGTATATATGAAAGCTAATAAATGGAAATACATTGTATGAAGATTGTGGCCACTGGGCTTGCTTTGGAATGAACAGAGTTCATAAAATACAGCTGTTCATATTTTTATATTCTCATCTATTCATTTTTTTGTCATAGAAATATCTTGTAGAAAATCTGAAGAATGTGAAATCCTCAAAAACAGGGTATTAAAGGACATACTGAACACGGATGGTCACATGCCACAGCTAGTAATAAAGAACCATGCAGATGCATTGAAACAGCAATGCTGAAGTGAAGTGATTGCTTATTCTAACAACAATCTTGATCAAGTTCTAGATCAGGGGTAACTTGACAAAAAAAATGTTCACTGGAAAGAGTATTGTATTCAGGAAACCACTGACCTAGTAGTGATAAAAGTTTTACACTTAAAAGTTTAAATTGCAAGATCACTGTATGGGCTAAAGCTAGCTTTTAAGAACACTAATCAGTTGATAAAACTACTAAGGATTAAGTCTCACTGCAGTTTCAATAAACATTACCCCCCTTTGTTTCAGACCCTCAGAACTGTTTATGGCTTTCACAGTTTTCAGCACCAGAGAATATGTAATATGTAATAGGCAAGTACAGGACTACATTTCAAAATGTGATAAACGTGAAAACTGTCAAAGTCTCTATTACATTACAAGTCTACTAGTTATTTTTAAATAAAAACAGGACAGTTGTCATATACCACCATTATATTCATCGCTGAGGAAATCAACTACATGGTATACAATACAAATTTTAAGGTACGTGTAAGTGTGGATTCCCATTATTATATTAAAGTTTGTATTAATTATTATTGGGGGGCGGTGCATGCTAAAACTCTCCTGAACGTTTACAGGTTTGTACGCTTTTCCAGTCCATTATTTTTTCCTAAAATCTGATTTACATGTTTAGTTTGCATTCAACACTATTTTCAAAAATTGTTAAACCAGTAACCTGAATGATTTACTAGCTTAATGAAAACATCTTAGCTGCAAAATGTTTGAAAGGATCACGCATTTGATCCACCGTATTTGTTATACAAGTCCTTGAGGGACGAGGTGAAATACAGGAGCTGATGCGCAAGCAAGAGGCATAGCTGGCGTTCCAGTGAAAAACCAGCAAGGCTCGATGGAACCACTGGTCTGGCACCACGTCCAAAAACTGCATGGAATCCGTTAGCAATACCCAAAAGAAATAGAAAACCCACATGCTGTGAATCCATTAACTACACCTCTCTAAGCTAACGACTGGAACTACAGGAAACAATATAGGTTTAATAATAACGTCAATAAAAACTAAATATATTCAGAACGATAGTGTGTTCAAACAACCGTTCACTGATAATCATGGATGCATTTGACTAAGAACATTTCCCTTTTAGAGCTGAATACACCTCGTCTGTTTCTTCTATGTTGTGGTTTTGTAACTGTTCTGCATAGTGATGATGAACAAATGTGAAAAAAACATCGAACAGAGATTCACATGCCATTTTATTCTAATGTCTAAAAACACGAAAATAAACATGGAAAAGCAGTCCCAAGTTTATACACGGTTTAAGTTTTCGGTTTTAGCAATTGAGAGAGGATACGAGAGACATCCATACCTTCGCAAACCCCGACTTCGTACTGCGTGATGGAACCGCCGTTCATAGGGGGTCTGATCACGCACCGAAGACCCCTGTCGCAAGTCCCGTACAGTCCATACACACCTCCGCAGCTCTCGTTCTTTTGCTTTGCACACACTGAGCAACAGCCACAGATCCCTAGAACCACAGCGCCGGAGCAGTGCTTAGGCTCCTCGCATTTTGACTCGTCACAAGGCAGGCACAACAGAGCCTGGCTGCTTTTAGCAATCAAGATCATAAGTTGGACGATCAGCATACATTTCGCAACAAGGTATATCCTTGAAGAGGCCATTTGTAATTACGTATCCGCACTGAAAACAATCACCTCCACGACAGAAAAAAATATTTTAAAAAGTATACGGCTTCAGTATGATACTAGCTATCATATGCGTTTCGTTTTTCGTAAAATTTTATTAAGAGAAAATGTTTTGTTAAGATATAAATCTTGAAAGATGAGTTTCAGAAAAACGAAGCAGTGGCTACCACCCCAAAACAAAAATACAGTCCATAATTTATGCAGCATATGAAAAGTTTGTTCCTGGTTTTCCCTACCACGGAAAACTTTTTTTTTCTGTAGTCATGTATCCGTTTGTTTTTCTTTCTCGCTGCTTACAAGGACATTCCTTTCCTGTTCAATGCACCAGTTCCTCAAGCAACGAGCATTCTTTTTCCTCAAAGTATGAACAGTGGTATAATTTGGTATTGGTATGACTTCAGTAAACCTGTTAAAATAAAGGCTCTTCAGTCACACATTTGATGTGCTCCCTTTCATGTTTATCGCTCTCTAGCGCTCCACTTGCTTCTCTCAGTTCAGTCCCACATTGTGACCTCATAACGGAACCACTCCCATTTTACATTGCCTTGCTTCATTGGGCAGTTCTATTCCAGATATGGAACACAGGAAATGTGGACATACTGTATAAGCAGAGTATAAAGGCAACATTACAATGCTTATTAAATTGCCGTGATCGCAGGTATGGAATTCTGGGTCATGGTTTCGCAGCAACTGTTCATTTTATGCTTTAAACTAGCTTAGCTTTATTTAAATTTGCTTTATGACTGAAAATAGTTTCCAAAGCCGCTTTATTTTTGCTTGATCACAACAAATGGTTGATGCGATTATTTTCGGTACCTTGCTTTCTTGCAAGCGAAGAAAAATTCGATTGTTCTTTCAACGACTCCATCGTCTAGTATTCTATTAAATGTGAAAATAGGCATTTCTACGTAAGAAACAATTAAAGATAATATGAAAGCGTTTGATTTAAAAAAACGGTTTTAAGCGAGAAAAGGGACTTGCTGTTTTATATGATAGCGAACTTAATATCCTTCACCTGAAATAATATTCTGGTGAAACAGAAATAATCGCCACTGTGATGATAATTACAAGCAATATTGTTACCTGTATTTCACTTATCTGTCTGCATGTTCTGTGAGAGTCTCCCTTCTGTCTACAGTACATCGTCTTTGTCATAAATATATTTGAATCGATCAGAGGTTCTGCTATGAAAGAGATATGAAAGTAAAACAAGTCACTTATTTTAGCACACAATACTTATGCTTAACTAGTTTAATTTAATTCTTTTTACAAAATTGTACTTTATTTAATTAGAAATAGTATCGATTTATATTCCTAATTTATATAGTTTAAGGCCAGCACCAAGAGATATTATTTAAAATTATCCTATTAGCCATTCCATGGCGACATCTGACATGTTGCCCTATAGGGTATGATCATACTAGGATTTCCAGGCACTTCATGATCACTGAAGTGAGTGCCAACTGCCACTTGGCAGTAATAGTTAAAACAAGTTAACTTGGTCTTCTTGGGCAGTGGCACAATTGTGGTTTTCTTAAAGCACTCTGGTACAACTGACAGGGACAGAGAGAGGTTAAAAATGTTTGTATACACAGGAGATAGCTGGTCTGCACAAGTTTTAAGGACACAAGGGGAGACACCATCTGGGACGGCTGCTTTACAGATTTTTACTCTCTTAAAGGCTCTACGCACCTCATGTTTAGAGAACTGTAATACAAAGTCCCCTGGTTCACTGCGAGCCTCGATCGCAGGCTCTGTGTTTTGGTATTAAGGAAAAAAAAGGAAATACAATGATTGTAATAATATTGAGACCAGTGAGCTCAATATTTGTTGGCAGCAATTACATCTGCAGTTCTTTTTGGGTAAGTCTTTGCCCACCAGCTTGGTTCACTTTTTGTTTTTGTTAGTCACTCAAGGACTCTTTCCACTCCTAATCTTCTGGTACTCCATTGTAGCTTTGGCCATGTGCTTTGTGTCACTTTTGGGCATGAGGCTGAATTTTCAGTTTTAGGTCTTTAGTAGACTAAAGTAGTTTTTCCTTTAATATTTACCTGTAATTTGGTCTGTCCCTTTTCCCCTCAGTGGCTGCTGATTAAAAGCAGTTCCATAATATAATACTGCCATTATAATGCTTTATAGTAGGGATGATATTGACAGGGTGGTGCACTGAGTTGCCTGCACTATATGTAACATTTTACATTTAGATAAAAATGTTTTAATTTTTTTCACTGTCCACAAAATAAATTTAGCCGTAAGTTTGCAGTATCATATAGATATTTTGTTGCAGACTCCATGCAGATTTTAGATGTTTCTTTCAAAAACTGCAACCCCTTCAAAACTCTCCCTTGCAGGCCCATTTTGACTTATGGACATTCTCTAAAAACTCAACCATTGAAATCTGTAGCTTTTTTGAAGTTACAGAAGACCTCACTCTAGCATCCCTAACCAGATTCCCCTTGATGTAGGTAGTGTCTGGGTATACCCAGGAGTCTTAGTTGTACAGATGCAGCCATTCAAAATGAGCAGTAAAAACCCGCGGTACAGTAACCTAACCGCAGGGCACCGGAGAGCACCGCGGTAAGTGATTGGCTGGCAGGGTAAGTGATTACCGACAGGGACACTCGTGGTGCATTGGTTGGTAGTGAAAAGATTTAATCATTTAATGTCTTTACTGTGCACAATTTAATCCGCTTAGTTTTGAATATTTATATGGAATTTTACCACTAAAGGGAAATTT